AGCTAACCCTGCATTAGTAAGGGGTCCCCCAAGTTCTCTACAGACCCTAAGCCAATCTTGTAATCCTTTGTTTTTTCTCGGGGCTATAGCTGCGCGACATTCTTGGGAGGCCTGTTCAAAGATAAGTTGCTCAACAAGAGGTGCGGCCTGCTCAGGATCGCCAAAGATCCATCCCGCTGCCTCTGTCATCCTTGCTACAAAATCGGAGAAAGTCTCCTGGGTTCCTTGAATGATTTTAGTAAGCTGATTGTCAACCCCTCCTTTCTTGGAGAGCACCTTTCAGGCCCTAATGGCCGCGTTGTCGATTTGTGGATAAGCGCCCCAATGATAATTTGTTTGATCAGCTGCAAAACGACCCTGGCCCGTTAACAGGTCGAATGTCCATAGTTGTTGCTCAGGAGTTAAGGCCGTCGCGTTAGCTCTGGCCTGCTCTTGGGCGGCCTCATGCCAGAGTGCTTTCCACTCCATGTATTGGCCCATGCTGACAAGCGCAGCTTTTGTGACCATCTGCCAGTCAGATGGCGTCAAGGCATTTAGGGCAAGTCTATCCAATTGTGTAAGAGTAAAGTTGGCTGTGACTCCATATTTCCTGACTGATTCTGCCAATTCTTTTATCTGATTATACTCCATGGGTGCATGCATACACTCTCCCTCAATGCCCTCAAAGATGGGAAAAGCGAGGCCCAGCTTTCTTTTTACCTTTTCTGGAAGAAAGGAATAAGACTTCGGGCGCCTCTCATAGGGAGGGGGCGCCGAAGGAACAACCTGTGAGACTGATGCTTGAAGCTGCTGCCTTCGAGGTTCTTTGCTATTCTGCCTATGTTCATCCAGGTGGTATCTTTCTTCCTCATACCTGGCAGCTTCTTCCTCTAATTCGGCCTCTTCATCAGTATCTAAGACCTCATCTCCTGAGCTTTCAGAGTCATCAGAGCTATCAAGATTTAAGGCTTCAAGCTCATGTACAGGGCATAAGCCAGCTCCTCCCTTTAATTTAACAACAGGGGAAGGATCCCTAGGATCTGACAAATACACTTCCTTGTCATTAGACACACCGGGAGGGCCTTTTTCCTTTTTTGTGGACGGTTTTTTTCTTGTGCGCACCCAACCTCTCACTATGTTCGGTTTCTGACATGCTATTCTGGACCTCTTCAAGGGTGCTACAACAGCAAAAAAGATCGACAATCCCAAGCCAAAGTCCAGAAAAGACATACCTCTCCGAATCGTACCTGCCTGCAGTTCTGAATCCTCCTTGTAGCCAAGGGCTCTCCGATGGTGCTGACGATGATGAGGTCTCGATTTCCCGGGTTTCGGCACCAGTTGTCCAGCGCTACCGTCTCGCCAGCAAGAATGACGCAGGACATTCAGGATCCTTCTGTAGTAAAGCTTTAATGCATCTTGAGAGGGAGCGCATAAGCTTACAGAGCAGAGCTCCCGAACTCCCAAAATCCCATCCCTTATATAGGCTGGCGACTGCCGCCTCGGACGTGTCACCCCCTGACTGGCTGCCGCTCCTCCGGCCATATGACGCCACGGGAGAGGGAGAGACCAAGGGATGGAAAGTTACCCCGCGCCTGCGCACTAACTTGTTTACCATTCGGTGCCTGCCGGATGCAGGCGCCATCTTGTAATGGAGAATGCAGGGACGGCTCCCTACAACCATCTGTGCTCAGACCTGGGGAAGGCTTTACCATTAACTTGAACATGACTCAGAGAAGGCCTTGCCATCCCCATGGGTCTGATTCAGTAGTGTCCTTGACATGGTCCTGTTCATGTCACGAATGATCATTCATACAGGGCAGGGTTACATTGTTCCCTACTTAGAGGAGTCACTTCTTTCTTTGTACCATGTGGACGCTGGGGATGAAACTCAAACCATCAGGCTTGACAAGAAGTGCTTTTATCTGCTGAGTCATCGTGACAGCCCTGTGATAGATATTTTAAAAGGAACATTCTGGCTGTTCTATGGAGAAAAAAGACTAATGAAAACCAAGGACAGGGGCTGGAGAGATGGATCAACAGTTAAGAGAATTTGATGCTCTTCTAGATGACCAGTGTTCAGTTACCAGATGTTGTGTGACAGAATTTTCCTAAGGAGCTAACACACACACACACACACACACACACACACACACACACACACCGCTACTTACTCTAGAGAGATAACTCAGGGCAGACTGAAGTAATGACTATTATACAAACTCCAACTTTGCGAACTGATGAGGTTTCAATTGAGATGACTAACAGGAGTGTGGGTAAGTGGGTACTTTTAGGAGCAAGGATGACTCAGAAGCAGCTGCGTCACTGAAAACCCCACCTCAACACCGGCAATGACTCATAAAAGCTCCTCTCTAGGTCTCTGTACAACTTGCAGGCAGCTCCATACATCTGAGAAATCTCTTTTCTGCAAATCAGCTAATCAATCTCCTCTCCCAAAAGTGGTTTACTCCTTTTATAAAGCTGGGAGGAGGCAGGGGGAGAGGAGGAGTTGGGGGGAGAACTGAGTTTGGAATGTAAATTGAAACTTAAATAAATAAATAATTTTACAAAAGCTGGGAGGAACCGAGCATTTTGTAAGTTTCTACATTCTGGCATGTTTGATGTATTAAGGAGTTTCATGAGCCCCTCTCTTTCTCAGAGGGTAAGTTTCAAATAGGAGGAAACTGCCATAGAACACTAGCACCTAAATCTAATTCTGCCTTCACAAGATGGGCTGCAACTCCAGCTCTAGGGGACCTCATGCTCTCTTCTGGCCTCCATGGGCACACGGGGATGGACACACACACACACACACACACACACACACACACCACATGCACATAAGTAAAAATAAAAATAAAGAAAATCAAGAATCCGGTTAGCAGGTTCTTGCAAAATTATTCAATCAAAGGTGATTTGTGGTGGCTTGAAGAAAAGTAGTATCTGTCAATTACCATCATGACAATGTTTGAATTCTGGATAAATTCTTCAAAGATATAGAACCATCAGAACTTGCCAACAAACCAGAGGTACAGGGTCAGAATCACCTAGGAGACAGGTCTCTGGCAGATGAAGGGGAAAAATCTAGATTATGTTAGCCTATGTGAATGTATATACAGAATTATCTAGATTAGATTGATTGAAATGGAAGGACCTACCCTGAATGTGGGCAGCACCATTCTTTTGGCTTGAGTTCCACACTACATAAAAAAAAGAGAAAGCTAGCTGAGCATGAGCAGCCATCACTCTCTGCTTCCCGACTGTGAACCAGCTGCCTCCTGTTCCTGCCACCATATTCCCCCACCACGATGAACAGTGTCTCCTGGAACTTCAAGTCCAAATAAACCTTTTTTTTCCTCTACGTTACTTTGATCAGAGTATTCTTATCACAGTACAAGGAAAAGTAGTTAAAACAGGTACCCTGTTATCATTTTGCATGTGACATATTTTAGTGGAAAGATTCCAGCAAAAATTCTGTAGCAAGCTTCTGAGTAGGCCTACAAGAAGCATCCCACAAGGTAAATAGCTGCTGGAATGGCTAGATTCTTGTAGCCCATGCAGGTAATGACTGTATGATAATGTTATCCAAGCCACAGTTTTTGAACATCATTGTTTAAATATCATTTCACCAAAAAAGCACTTCCAATTCTCGTTATGCTATTTCACAGCCTCTCTGGTACACGTGCATGCCTGTGCATGCGCTCGCGCGCACACACACACACACACACACACACACACACACACAGCACTTAAGTGGAGTATGAGATTCTTCAAATAACTTACCCACAGAATGTAAATCCCTAATTAAAACACCAGATGTTAACCAATGTTCTTAGGATTTGGGATGTTGATTAACACTAACCAGATACATTTATATGCTATATACACAAAACAGCCTCCATGTACGTGTATCCCGCTACATTCTCTTTCCTAAAATATTTAAATACAAAATTAACTTGGGCTGGTGTTCAAGTTTGCTTTCTGTTGCTATGATAAACACCATGACCAAAATCAACTTGGGGAAGGGAAGTTTTGTTTTTTGTTTGTTTGTTTTAACTTACACATCCTGATAGCCATCACTGAGGGAAGTCAGGACAAGAATTTGAGACAGAAACTGGAACAGAAGCCATGGAAGAACATTGCTCATTGGTTTGTTTCCATGACTCACTCAGTTTGCTCTCACACAATTCAGGACCACCAGCCCAGGGACAACACCAACCACAGGGATATGAGCTCAATCGTTAATCAAGAAAATGTCCCCAAAGACCTGCTCACAGGCCAACATGATAGAAGCACTTTCTTGATAGAGGTCCCCCTCCCCAGATGATCCTAGTTTGTATCAAATTGATTTAAAAAGCAACAACAACAAAGTAAATTGACTTCAACTCTGGAGACCATAAGCAATGAACTTTTGTGAAGTTTTAGAGGTTTCCTAGGGTTTGCATCTAAGGGCTTTCTTGTTGAAAGAGCATGGTCTCATTAGCTAGACAGGCCTAAATTCTCTTCTTTGTAAGTCAATCTAAGATCACAGAGATCTTGAAGTAGATTTCCAAATGCTCCTTTTGTTTTTTTTTCCTTTTCTTTTTTTTTCCTTTTCTGTTTCTTATTCATCTTTTTGAAATAGGGTCTCACTGTGTAGCATAGGCTGGTCTAGAATATATAATCCTCCTTCCTCAGCCTCCTGAGTGCCAGGATTAGAGGCATGAGCTATCATACCTGGCCCAAATGCTCTTTCCGTACACCATGGATCCACCTCAACCCTGTGCCCATCAGCAACAGGGATTGTTTTGCTGTTTCATTTGCAAGATCTAAAGTGAACACCAGCAGAGCCAGTGGGCAGCACTCCTGGAGTATCTTTGTTTTCAGAGTTAGTTTTGTTTCCATAGTAGGGATGAGGACTTCCCTAGGAAGCAGAAGCAAATGAGAAACTGCCCGAATTACTGCCATTCTATTCTGTTACTCAAAGAGTGGCCTATCAGGTGTTAGTTAAGTAGTGACAGCCTATGTTTCCTATTGAATATCTTTGAGCTCAAGACTGAGGAGTGGTTCTTTATGTTTGTCTTATATCCCTCCTCCTCCCCATTTACTTTTCCCTTTGCCTCTCTTTCTCCATTTCCTACATTGACAGAACACTCAAAGTAGCTGGAGTCTTTTCCATTTGGCTAACTGAGCAAGTTCTGCCAAATATGGAGGCCAAGACCAGCTTGTCAGGATCAAACACACTTCAGACATTGTGAACCCGAGCATGACAACTCAAATCTATCTAATGTCTTTCAGACAGATAGTTTAAGAGGACCTCAAGGGCCTGATGTTCCCTTTGCCTGTGCAGAGCCTGAGGACAACCCAAGGAAAGTGGCAAAGATGAAGAGAGTAATTGTCACCTTCCTCTTGCTAACCACAAGGCAAGAGAGCACAGTACAGGCCCAAGAACTGCACTCTCTGAGAATGGCTAGTCACACTGTGACTACGTGGAGCCCCCCTGTTCACTTGTTTCAGCACAAGCAGTACACAGCTTTCCTTCAGCATGTTTTGGGCATAGAGAAGGCAGACTGCTGGGGAAACTGTTGTAATTTTAAAAAGCAGCGTGAGAAAAAGGTGGAGAGAAAGAGCCAATTCTGGCAAGTGGTCCTCTGACCTCCACACATTCACTGTGGTATGCCCCTGCCCCACATAAATAAATACATTTTTTTAAAAAATTAAAATATATAGTGTTATATTCTGATTCACAAAGCAATGCTTTTTAAATCTTTCTTCATTTTTACTAGTTCTTTGAAAATTTCATGAAACTTATTTTGATCATATTGACCCCCAGCTCCTTTTAGATCTACCTCTCTTTACCTTCCCACCTAACTTTTTAAATCAATCTGTGTTGCCCATAAACTCTAGAATGTGTGGCCTTTCACTTGAGTGTGCTCAACCTACCAGATCCTTAAAGAAATCTTGCTTTCAAGCTCTCTCTCTTTCTTTCTTTCTTTCTCTCTCTCTCTCTCTCTCTCTCTCTCTCTCTCTCTCTCTCGACTCTCCCTCTTTCTCTCAGCATCTATCAATTGACAATGGGGACCCACTACCAATGGGAGTTCATGCCCATCTCCCTCTCCATGTTAAGATCTTTGTCCGGCTTGAGCTTGCACAGGTTTTGTGTGTGCTATCACAACTCCTTTAATTCATATATGCAACTGTCCTGCTGTGTCTGAAAAATTCTTCTGTAGTCATCCTCTGCCTCTGGTTCTTACACCAATTTTTCTTCTGCAAAGATATCTGATCTTAGAAGAAAGGGGTGATATATATATATATATATATATATATATATATATATATATATATATATGGATGAGATCTCCTACCAGTCTTTCAAGTCTTTCATCCTCTGCACCTTGACCTACTGCAGGTCTCTGTGTTAATTCTCTCTACTACAAAAAGCAACTTCTCGGATGAGTGTTGAGAAATGTACTAACCAATGGATACAATGATAAG